ATGTATGTTGTAGTGTTTGCAATAAGGGCTTCTTCCTCTCTTAACGTTTGACTGTTTTTCAAGAGAGTCAAAAGACAACAACACCAATTTTCACACCTCATACAATGTGTGCTAATCAGCATAAGAACAAAAAAGATAGAAAAAAAGGAGACAGACGAAGATCGAAATCGAATCAAACTGTCTTTTCATCTTGATTTATAGAAATGTCAATATATATACATATAGAAAAAAAGAAATTATAGGCACGCGTCAAACGAAATTCGTTATTTTCTTATAAATGCGTGAATCACTGTTCATTTCTCGTCTATGTTTATTTATGTCATCAATTTTCAAAAAAAATAAGAATTGTGTAAGATTTGTATATTTCTCTCTTTGAACTAACTGATTTGTTGAAATTGAATCTTTATATTACCTATTCTGAATGTTGTCGTAATAATCACATTGACAATGCAAAAGAAATATCCCGTTAGGCATGTACGTTATGTATGTTGAATGTTCACACCTTTCATCTTAACTAATTATTGAGTCTCTTTAAACGCTATAACAACAACATTTGATACTCACATATAGGCCCTGTCAAGATAAAGATAAATCTTATCTATACATAGTCAATGATCAGAAGTAATTAACGAATAATAAAAAACATTAACAGGAAATTTTGATTTTTTTCGGATATGTGTTGCTGTCAAATTAAACAGCCATTCACTAACATACTGAATAGTATAGATCATTAAGCAAGTATAATACCTTGACGATTTTTTCCCAACAGGTATCGTACGAGTGAACTACCTCGTGGTTCCACCCATCTCGCTATGTGATTTCACTCTTTTTTTCAATGATGATAAATTAGTCTGTCATATAGATATATAGATATATAGCCAGCTGTGTGAGAGACAAATTAGTATTGTGGTATATAGGTAGAAAAATGCGAGTAAGAATAATTAGTTATCGTTCGTCGTCTGTTAATGATTGAATCAACACAAATAGACTAGAGTTGGTTTTTTATTTGCAATAAATGAATGAAAGAATGAATGAATAATTCAATAGATTGATTTAGTTTGCTAATGAGTAGAATTTTTTTCACTGGAACCAAAATAACTCAAGCACAAAATATAGTGCAATGAATTTATATGATGTAATCAATAATTAAAAATAAGATAATGAATATTTCAGATTTTTTTTTGTTTTCTGAAAAACTGATTTTATATTTGAAAACTGAGTACTATTCTTCATTAATATAAGATAATTTTGTGATCAATTTATTCTAACACATTGTTTGATACGAGCGGGATGCACGAGTGTGTACATCTAAAAAATTTAACCTTGTGACACCTCTTTATATATATTTCATTTTTTTCTTTTGCTTAAGATGCGACTCAACTAGCATTAACAAATTAGTCTTCTCACTGTTATGTTATTGTTGATCGTTTTTGCTCTTTCTCATGCTTGATAATCACTCTCGTCCCGCCTTTCACAAGCTTTTTTTATCCTCTGGCATCATTATCAAACTAGTTTTCATTGTGTATTTTTGAACATCGATTAAGATGCCCCTTAGGCATAAGTCTACCATTTTTTCTCTAGTAAAAGACTCAAAAGAGAATGAGATTATATTTAGTTATATCATTAATTGGTAAGCACTTATCGCTGCCATTCAATATTCAATGATCTCAACCGGAATAATCTTCTAAGTTGAATAGACTTCATTGCAAATATTGAATTGATAAGATTATAAACTAACGTTTTTTCTATTTTTATATAATGCCACACTTTAACAGCACAAAAAAATGCAAATGGAGATGATGATCAAGTTTGATTTTCAGATTAAACGCCTCCTCCTATTGTTCATAAGCATTCAAGCGAAGCCCCATGTATACATATAAACTTTTATGCAATCATCACGTACAATGTACACATAAATGTATATGTTTAACCATGATTTTGAATCAAACCTTATTTATTTATATACACATTAAATAGAAAGAAACGAGAGAAAAAAACGTTTCATTTAGCAATCGGATGTGGAAAAATATGTATATCATGAATAAAATGTATAAAAATTAAAAACTAATACGAAAACGTTCAGTAGATTAAGAGTAACAACTGTCAAACTTGTCTTAACGCCCTTAAGTAAGAATTAAAGCATGTGGATCAGATCTTGATAGTAAAAGATCGTGTGAGATTGATATCGTTCAAACAATCTTGTTTTTATCCTCTTACACCTTTTTCAATACGTTCAAAAGTGATTGGTTATAATATTAATGAAAAGAATGATTGAAAGAAAATGAAAATAAATAGATAGACTAATTTTTTTCTTTTCTCTTTTTCCCCTCTTTCTCTTTTAATGATTGGTTCCCTCTATTTCTTCTCTACCAATTGTTCACACTTTATTTTCAATATATAGAGCTACATTTCATATCCGATACATAGTACTTACATTTAAACTACAATATACAAAACATGAAATTCTGTTGTACAAGTGGAATCAGTTCTAAACCAAGAGTAAGTAACATAATATTCCCAGACTCAGTATGAATTATGACATTAGCTATCTTCCAGTCAGTATTTTTTCTAGTTCATTTGCAAGTCTTTTCTTATTTGTGATATATTATACATAGGTCTTTCGATTAATCCAATTATTTCGATGTTAAAACTATTTGTATTTCTAAACATGAGAAAAACGAACGTGATTCGCTTGACTTTTCTTGCATTTAAATACAAGCTAAAAGGTTCATTGAAGCACAACATGATCATAGAAGTCATAATTTGTTTTTCTTGTTGTTTTTCTATGAGTATCGATCTATTTTTCCACTTGAAATATTCATCTTGTTTGATCCTATTCATTTTTCGTTCGTTTTTGTTATAGAAATCATTGAATAAAAACAATGAAAAGAAAATGAAAAAACCAAAAGAAAAAATAAATCATTCATTATCGTCATCATCATCGATTTATTATACAAATATGTCAATACCTCACATTAAAAAATATGATAGTGGCTTTTCCGAAACAGCAACAACATTATCATCATCATCAATAGAACATTCAGAAACAATACTTGAACAAATTCTTTCATTTGAAAAAAATTATTATGAAAATTTAAAACAATACATTATTAAATACTCACGACCATTAAGACGTTATTTAAATTCCGATGAAATTGTTGATCTCTTTCAAAATATCGAAAAAGTAAGGTTAATATATTTAAAAAGAAAAGAAAATTATCATCTTTTTGCTTCTATAGATTTCTGCAATTTCCGAATCAATTATTCGTCAAGGTGAAAAGTTACTTGATAATACTGATAATATATCAAATATATCCATCTCTATGATTTATCAATCTTGGGTATGATATTGAAATTTTTTAATACGATTTTGTTATTTTTTGTTCTCTTTTCTAGTCGGGTGTAATGATTGATTCATATAATTCATATTTATCACGAAGTATACAAGCACAAAATGCATTAAAACAATATGAAAATAAAATTGCATATTTTCTTCAAGTAAATAGTTAAATAAAATTATCTTGATTATTAATAAAATTATTTTTTTCCAGTTTCCAATTGAATATATTGAACGAGAAATTACTGCATTTATTCTTTCGCCAATTCGACATGTTTGTTTATTAAATGATTTATTTCAATCAGTAATTACGGAACATTCACCAAGTACAAATAATATTGATTGGAAAATTATTGAAGGTAAGAAAACACACTTAAAAAAGAAAACGAAAATTTATGTATTAAATTTTTTAAGATGTGAGACTATTAGCACGACAAGCGAATGTTATTCTTCAATCATCATGTATTAATCAACATGATAACACCGTATTAACACTAGAATCATCGATTTATTGTGCACCTAATGTAACACTTGAAACATCACAAGATACAACTTTACAATCAGAAATTTTACCAACTATTGTACTTCATCGTACAAATAAAGAACCATGGGAACCTGTAAGTTATAAAATTTGATTTATAATTATCAATTTATAAAGTATTTTTTTTTGTCATTTAGAAACAACTTGAATTATCAAATTTAAGATTAAACTTAACTGAAATTGATCGAACAAACATATCATCATCATCTATAACAACAAGTTTATGCTTAGCAAGTGTTGTACATATTCAAGAAGATTGTATGAACAAAGAATTACGTTTAATAGTAGCTCGAACAATAAAGAAATCATCCAAATCAGCATCCGTAAAAATGCTCTGTATACATTTACGTTTTGAACATAAAAATGAATATTTTACTTGGTTTCAACAGTTAACAAATGCTGTACAACAAGCAAAAGATCAAAGTTGGACAAGGAAAAATGAACTTGTTATTTAAGAACAAATTTTTGTCATGTTGTATATGTGCGTTTTATTTGTAACTATTTTTTAACTTAAATAAATAAAATTAAATGAAAAATAAACTTGTCATTGATGAAATAGAGTATTTATGTAGAATGGCGGCAAAGAATACGATATCGTTTTCATGAACAGTTCGACTTGATATTTAGAGAAGATTATGGGTAATCGTAATGTAAAGTTTAATGACTATAAAAAAGTGTTCATTGATCTACGTCAGTTATTACAAACGAGAGAAAGCATGAAATAAAAAATCAGATTAAGATTAGAGCAAGACTTGAATATATGATAAATCGCGTTTGATTTTGAAAAATGACGTTCAATAGAGTAGTGCCATCTATCAAGTGATGAAATCAAAACTTTTTGTTAATAGACAGTCTTGAATAAAAAATAGACTTTAATTAACATGATTTGTAATTGTTAAATTTAATTAGAAAAATAAATATTATGTTGCTGTTTGTTCTCGAATTGGATTCGATGGAATTTGTTTACGATTTTGGTTCCAATGTATACGCGTTATCATTCGTCGTTTGTATTCGAATTTCGATAAAATACTAGTTTTTCAGAAAAAAAAGAATTAAACATTAATTTTATAAAGAATTTTAGATCATCAAAAGAATAACGCAAGGTCGAACGACACTAAAATAATGACATCCGGCTACTCTGTACTCCAGTTAAAAGAGGATGATGTACTCAAAATCCTTGCAGCTCAACTTCATATTGGATCCAAAGATGTTGACTTTCAAATGGATACATACGTCTGGAAAAAAAAACCAAAAAACGAAGGTTAGTATTCCATTTACTTTTTTGTTTTATACATATATCTATTTATTAGGTTCAACAATAATCAATATTCGTAAATTTTGGGAAAAACTCGTACTTGCTGCTCGAGCTATCGTTGCTGTTGAAAATCCAGCTGATGTTTGTGCTATTTCATGTCAACCACAAGGTAAAACTTATTATTCAAAACCAAAATATTTTTAGTTTATCATATATTTATAATTAGGCCAACGAGCTGTATTGAAATATGCAAGATATACGGGTGCTACAGCTATTGGTAAGTCAAATAGATTTATAGATACCAGTTAAAAATTAAAATATATATTCTATTTTAAATAGCTGGTCGTTTTACACCCGGTTCATTTACAAATCAAATTCAAGCTGCATTCAAAGAACCACGTCTCATTGTTATAACTAATCCAAATGTTGATCATCAAGCTATTATTGAAGCTTCATTTGTTAATATTCCAGTTATCGCTTTTTGCGATCCATCAACATGTCTCCGAAATATTGATCTTGTTATTCCATGCAATAATAAGGTAAAATTAAGAAAATCTTTTTTTTTCTTATAATTTCTAAAATATAATTTAACTAGGTTAATAAATCAATTGGTCTTATGTGGTGGTTTTTGACACGTGAAGTACTTCGATTACGTGGTGAAATTAATCGACAAGCTCAATGGGATGTTATGGTTGATTTATTTTTCTATCGTGATCCTGAAGAAGTAAATATTGAAATTAAAAATACTGTTTTAACCTTATTATATATATACGAATTTTTTCTTTTAAGACTGAAAAAGAAGATCAAGTTGCTGTTACAGGTCAAGATCGTGATACACAAGCACATGGAATCGAATCAAATTATTATGATGATGGTCCATCAATAATGCCTTCTTCAGAAAATTTTGCAGGTAATCGAGATAATTGGGGTGCATCTGCAGCTGATGGTTGGGGTGCTGTCGGTGCCGGAACAGGTGCTGCTGAAACAAATGAATGGAATGCACCAGCTGCAGCAGCCACTACCGGTGTTTCAACCAACTGGTGATTTATGATGAAAAAAAAACTAACAAAAATCGTTGTTTTCCTAAGCATCAATTTAGCCTAATTCAATACAAGAACAAGAACATTGTTTACTACAATATAACAGCAACATCAATAACAGTAGTAGTAGTACAGTGTTATATCGTTGGGCTCATATTAAATAAAAAAGAAACACAAAAAAAAATTATAATATATATACATATATATTTAATGTTTTTTCTTTTAATTGGAATAACTATGTGATGAATGAGAAACTTGTTTGTTTGTGCATGAGTGAGAATGCAAACACGAGCATATTAGGTATATACATGTTTGATCTAATTGAGTCATTTAAAAAAAGTAAGCGATGAAAGAGAAATAAAGAAAGAGAACAAGCGAAAAAAGAAAAAAAGAAAAAACAAGTATATAATGAAGAGCACATCTATGGTAATAAAAAAATGCGAAGTAAAAATCGGCGTAAATGATTATTTCTGTTCTCTCATTTTACCTTACCATTGCCACATAAGCATATATCGACGCACATGCTGTAATACATACATGTGTTGCTACGACACATGATGGCCATAGTATAAATGGTTGTCAACCTACCGAGTCACTGAAATATATTATTCAGAAATATAAATCAAAATTATAGCAAAAGCAATCAATAAAAACGTTTTATATTTCGTTATTAAACTACTTACATGGTATTAGATAAGAAGAACAAGAACATCGATAAACTTCTTTTTATTTTCTTTAATACGCATTTATTCTGCCTATTCTTTTATTTATTATAGATTTTTAATTTATATTATTTATTCTTTAAATTCACAATGCTTATAACGGAATTTCGAGTCCTTTTACCGATGACAGTCGAAGAGTATCAAGTTGCACAGTTATATGCAACAGCTAAAGTTTCCAAACAAAACACAGGTGGTGGTGAAGGTGTAGAAATTCTTGCTAATGAACCATTTCAAAAGCCTGCATCGGAAGGATTTCTTGGCAAATATAATACTGGTCAATATACGAAAAAAATCTATCATTTAGGTTCACGTGTACCAAACTTCGTTCGTTTAGTATTTAAAGATTCAACATTATCTTTAAATGAAGAAGCCTGGAATGCTTATCCATATTGTAAAACAGTTCTAACAAATCCATATATGAAAGATCATATGTTTATTGATATATCAACATTGCATGTAGCTGATCGTGGTGAATCAGAAAATGTTCATCAACTTACTGGTGATGAACTTAAAAAACGTCAAGTTGTCTATATTAATATTGCTGATAAAGTTAGCCGTGGTGATTATAAACCAGAAGATGACCCAGAAAAATTTAAATCAGTTAAAACTGGTCGTGGTCCACTTTTATCGACTGAACCATGGTATAAAAATTGTCAACCATATATGTAAGTTTTACTCTATAGTTATTTTGTTTATTAGCTTATCTCATTCAATCGGACACGATTGAATAGGTAAATAGGCGTATAGCTATAGTCATCAAGGTAAAAATAAAACCTTCTCGAAAGATTCGAATATAATTTAGTATTTAAAAAAATGAATCACTGAATGACTTTCTATTTATATGATTTATTTTTTGTTTAGGTGCTGTTATAAATTAGTACGAGAAAAATTCAAATGGTTTGGTATTCAAACAAAAGTAGAAAATTTAATTATGACTCAAGAAGAACGTTTATTTCGTAATTTTCATCGACAACTTTTTTGTTGGACAGATGAATGGTACGGTTTAACAATGCAAGATATTCGAGCACTTGAAGCTGCTGCAGTTGAAGAACTTAATAAAGAACGTAAAGAAGGACATAAGAAAGGTTTTACTACTGAAGAATAAATGTTCATGTGTTTTTTTCTCTCTCTCTTTCTCTTATTCTCATTTGTCAACTAAATTCTATTCATGCATTCTTTATCTTTTTTGTCTTTTTGATGTCTAATGACAATGCGTGTGTGTGTATTCATATATTTATTCCATAATGACTATAACAATGTTCTTAAAGAAAAAGAAAACATTCAAGCGTTATTTTTTTTGCGTGCCTTTTCGTTAGGTATTTTTAACCCGTTATTTTGTGTGCATGTTTATTTCTTCTTAGTAACAAAGCCAAAGATTTCTTTTTTTGTTTGATTTTATTTTCATTCACGGAGAAAGAAAAACTAAACAAAATCAGGAACACGAACCATCGAATAAAACAAATTGATATTTTGCATTCGATTGTGCATACAGATATTAGCTACCTTATTTTTTTTATTGTCTTTAGTTATATCAATCGAGTTATTTTTCTCATTATATATATATATATAAACAAGCAATTTCACCGAAAAATATTGTGTGTTCATATTCTTTTTTGTTTGGTTTAAAGAAAAATAAGCATTTGTTATTCTGCTCATAATGATATGAAAGTAAATTTTGTATTTTAATTCATTTTTGTAGATAGATAAAAGAGAAATTCTGATTGATAAAAGTACTTCTTCTTTTCGTAGCTGAAATTATACAATAACGAGAAAAATATTTACAAGGATCTAGATGTATGATCAAGAAATCTAACTTGATATATTGAATTTTGGGAATATCAGGAATTTTAAACCAAGTAATCAAAATATGATATATCGAAATGTTGAATTTCTAAAAACGTACTATTTTACAATGGATAGTCTAGTCTCTGCAAGATATTTTTATCAGTTCATTATATTCTATTGAATAAAGTATGAATAAATTCATATAAAGTTAGTTATCTCGAGTACTTTCCCTACAAGTCCAGATTAAGATTATTTTCTTGGAAGAGCTACAAAATATCTTAAAACACAATATTTAGCTCAAGTTCCATGCAAATGTAACCAAACATAATGAATATATAATCGTCATCAATAATTGAATTTACAATTGTACAAATATTATCATTAGTTAATAATATTCTTTTATACTTCTAACACAGCACATACTGAAATATAGAAAAACATTTCTATGGATGTATTTCAAAGATCTAAATAAGATTTTCTTCTCAGAACAACAGTTGGTAATCAAGGTGAATTCATTTTTCCTTGAGATTTTTTACTTATTTTCTTATCGCTTACAGTAAAAATTTTTTTTTGAGTGGCCTTGAGTACATAAAATAATTAATTTACTTAAAATCATTTTAGTATGCTTATTCTCGGTTTAACAGGTGGTATTGCTACCGGTAAAACATCCGCTAGTGAATATTTTAAAAAACATGGTATTCCAGTCGTTGATGCTGATCAACTTGCTCGTCTAGTTGTTGAACCTGGTAAACCTGCTTATAATCTTATATTAAAATATTTTGGTCATTTAAATATTCTTGAAAACAACAGTCAAAATTTGGATCGAAAACGTTTAGGTGAAATCATATTTACAAATGAACAAATGCGTAAACAATTAAATAAATGTACACATGGATATATTCGTCGTGAAGCATTTAAACAATTAATAGAACATTTTTTTCAATTACAACCAATTGTAATATGGGATGTTCCATTATTATTTGAAGTTGGTCTCAATCGATATTTATCCAATACATTAGTTATATCTTGTGATCAAACTATTCAATTAGATCGTTTAAAACAACGTGATAATATGAATGATGATCAACAAGCATTACAACGTATAAATGCACAAATGAATTTAGAAGAAAAATGTCGACTAGCACGTTATGTTATTGATAATAGTGGCACAAAAGATGTATTACATAAAGAATTACAAGAATTTCTAATAACTATTCAACCAAATAAACTAAATACTATAGCATGGTTTGTTGTACTTGTTATACCAGTAACAATAACTTATGGCATTCTTCGAATTTGGGATTGTTATGATCATATCAAATATCGAAATAGATCATAAAAATTATTCATCGGATTTTTGCTAAATAAAAATATGAAATATTTTTTATTTTTCTTAATATTGGCGCTATTCAAGATAACTAAATTTGAAAAAAAAACATTCATTGTATTTCGTTTAATTAATTCGGATTCTATTCATGTATTACTATTCTTCTCTTCAAAATAAACTTTTTTTAACAAATAAACTATCGATAAGATGAAAGAAAATTATCGTTCGAGACGAGAACGTTTACCTCGTCGAAAACATCAATTAACTAAATCTACAATCAGTGACGATGATGATGATGATTCGGAATTCGAACATCAAACATTTCAACAAAAAGCACTTGTACGAAGTAATAAAAATACTAATCGAATGTCTACTACTGTATTCAATCCAATTTCAATTGTACCAGTTGAAGAAAAACAACATCATCATCATCAAACATTACATATATCATCAGATCAATCGTCTTTATTTCTTTATTCTATTAACAGTATACAAAAACAAACTGCTATTTCCGATGACCTTACACCATTGACAGTCACAACAACAAATACAACTCCACTTACAGCGTTGACTTGTAGTAATACAAAGCAAATAGAAACAGTTAAAATTGATTTAACTGAATTAAGTAGTACAGATACATTTAATAGTTCTTCGATAAATAGTAATCATGATCAATCATTATCACTTAATCGAAAAATATCATTACCAAATTTAAATAATAAAATGAAAAATTTCAAAGATTTAACTCAAGCATATGATACAGATACAAGTATGAGATCTATTACATTTTCAAAGAATATTTCATTAGAAGAAGAATTATCATATCAAAAACATGCATCATGTTTTACTATTCCTAATATAGAAAATCGAGATATGATAACAGTAACATCATCATCAAGAATGCAAGATATATCATTACCAACAACTATCAATACTAATCTAAATATCTGTCAACATACATTTGTTAAATGGAATCCATCTCGATGGAATTTACAAAATATGACAAGTAAATTTAAACTTATGATTGGTTGTTCATCTTTAAGTTTAATTGCTGGAATCATAATACTTGTCATCATTTTATAAGATGATAAATTATATTACATTTTTTTAAAAAATCTTTTGTAAATCTTCTTGAAAAAAAAATGTACGAAAGTCATATGTAATCTTTTAATTTCTTTTTAAAAGTTTTTTACGAGTAATAATAATAATGGTAATAATGAGCATTATAAATAACACTATACATGACACATTTATTGTTTCCTGAGTAAAGAATGAGTTCCTGTATTTAATCATAGTCGACTGTTGAAATATATACTAAAACGTATCGTTATAAAGAATAGTTTATAGAAAATGTCATTAGACAAAAAAGAAATCGAGATAATAGATATCGGCGACATTTAAAATCGATTATTTTTCATAGAGCAAATATAAAAATAATTTGCAATCAATATAATATTGATCAAACAGAATTAGTAATTAGTTATTTCGATATTTTTTGTTTAAAATATTTTGATTATTCAATACAAAAAAACAATACATTAATAAACTAATAATTATGTAGTAGGCCTTTATGTATCGGCTAATATTTAATTATTTATGTCACACAATATCACATAACATGCATTATGAGACTACACTCAATTCTCTTCATGGAAAAATCCCAATAGCTTTATTTCGAAGATAAAACAAAATTGCAATTTCTTTATAGCTCTATTGTTTCTGGAAAGTTTGTTTTGTAATCAATCGTTTCTTTTTTATATAGATCTCAACATAACTATATAGTACTTGTATCATAGGAGAATTGATCAGTTATAGCTATTGATTGACCAACTTATGATAAAATGAATCATTGGAGAAGCACTTGTCTTTGTCGTTCACGCTCTTTTTTCTTGTGATAGACTATGAATACAAAGGCACCGAATTTACACACATTATCTGATCGCGCTCTCTTTTTTGACAGTAATGATGATGATGATGTCGTCTCATCATCTCCTTGAACAGTCGATGATGACTCGATCGATGCTTAATGGTTGGAGAGAGAAAAAAAAAGATGCAGAATAACTAGTGATTCGCTCCATTATGTTCTCAATAGACTCATGCTTCATTATCACTTTCAGACGTTGGCTCTTAGTTTCTTTTTTTTGGATCATCAGAAGCGTAAGTACCAAAAGCTTTTACTGTCAATGATGTTGTTGGTAGAGCAGAAATTCAATGAAGGAAATAAAAAAAAGGGGAGACCCTCTACCGATTCCATCATATATATATACACATAACACGCAACATTAGCAGAAGGGAAAAGCTAACTATATGACACCTTAACCATTGAGAAGGAAAAAAAATCATAAAGATTAATCGTTCTTATCACAAGTATGCTATTAATTCGTAGAGATACAGTAATTATCAAGTTAATTGTTCATGACTAAAATAATGGACGTAACATGACAACTTTGTTTTTCTTTTGACATACGAAGAATAAAATATTAAATAAACACCGACAAAAATATTTAGATATAAAAAGAAAGAAAGTTTTTTTTATGTATGTCATTTGTCTCTTAGTCGATTTCTTTCCGCTCCTCTCTGATCGCATTTCCTCATCGTGCGCTTGCTTGCATGTTCAGTGTTGCGCACATTTTGTTGACGCCGCTATAGCAGTCATCATCATTATCATCTTCTTCTTCTTTTACTAGTTTCCCTATAGTCGTTGAGATGGAGGTGCTTTACTTAGATGTGCCATTCTTCAGCTGTGAAACGAGAAGAAACAAAAACTAACTGAAAGCAAAATATATATAAAAAAAAAGAAAAGAATTTTTGTTATGATTATTGATGTTTCATTGGTAGTAGCTAGTTTTAATCATTATTATATAAGATCATAGTAAATGTAATTGAGCAGAAGAAAGCAAAGAAATATTTTTACATAGACTGAAACTATAACTGCGTACTATAACCCGATTAAACAAATGAGAGGTAATAAGATTATTTTATGTTGTCTTGTCAATTTAGCTAGCGGCTAATTAGGAGAAACTGTCAATTTTCTGATCTATTGCTTTTTCTAAATGGTATAAATATAAATAATGCGATATAACTGATTTTTTTAAAGTGATGATTGATGATGTCAATTGCCACATTTTTTATCATTACATATATAAACTTAGTGTTGAGCGATGAACAAAGAACCTCTTGTATTCATACATTCTTCAAATCTATGGAGACTCCTAAACTTACGCACGTAATCTGTAAGAATGAGTAAATGAATGAAGAACAGTTACAGTGAGAAACTATAATGAATTTTCTGGTGAATTGTATTATTGTGCTATTCGTAAGCATAGCACGTTTTTCCCCGGTGGACAGTAATAGCATGACCAAAAAGTCACACAACATACACATACATATAAACACGATTTCTTTTACCTCCTTCTCTCTCTCTCTCTCTCTCTCTCTCTCTCTCTTCCCCTTCCTTTCTGTTATCAGACTCTGTTCATTCTGTAACTATGACTGTTACTATTCTTTTTTTATTGCGTTTCACTGTGTTTCTTCTTCTTTAATAATAAGCATGCTTGATTCTCGCTCTACTCAAAACAAAAACGGAAGTCCTTTACATTTGCTAATTAAGTGGTTCGACGACTAAACAAATGCGTACTAGTCAGAAGAGAGGATAGACATGGCTAGAGAGAGAGGGAGAGAGAGAGGGAGAAGGGAAAAAGACGCATTTTCTTTCTTTGCAATGCGCGAGTATAAGCGGCTTTTCTTGTTTGTATAGTAATAGTAATTACGACTTGTAATCGTCAGTTATAAAGAAGCTCACCGTCAAGGTTATTCGCACAATTCTTTGACAACTAGAATGCTTTTAAGATAGATGAGGAACAGAGGTGCTTGATCAGTATAGCGTATCCATTTTATAAATGTTGATAGAGAAGTGAACAAATATTTGTCTAAATAGGCTATGTACTCGATTGAAGATTGCGCAAGGATCGTTCATGCGACAATTGACGTTCGTTAGAAAGAGAAAAAACGGAAGTCATAAAACAAAAATGTACGCTAACTAATACTAGCTAATCGATCGTAGAGTAAAAAAATGATGGTAAATCGTTCTCTTTTTTCTTTTTTAACTTCACTTTGCAAGACGATCGCATAATCTGACTACGTACGATAAAGAACACCTGTAGAGATGATAATCACTAACAAGTATATGTAAGAACGACAAGGCCAAAGACAAAAATCCACTCAAATAGTCTCTCTGATTATTCGAAGAATATTTCTCGGTAATAAGTCATAGTCTTCTATGACAAAAACATTGAAAAATCAGTTACGGCAAATTAGCTTCAAAATAGATTTCAGAGTAAGCGAACAAATGATCAATGAGAGGAGAAGAAAGAGAGAGAGAGACGGACAGAATAGAAAAGAGAGAGAAAGATTGTGATAGTTGTTGTATATAAAGAAAATGTACGTAGTAGATGGCAGCGTGAGAGAAGAAGAAAGATAGTGTGTGTGTGATGGGATGCGTATTGTCTCGAAGGAGACTCGTTCTAATCAAACTAGCCCCTGTCTTTTCTACATCAATGTAATCATCGTCATAACATTTATCTTCTTTTCATAGGCGATTAGAGAAAAAAGGAAAAAGAGGAGAGTGAGGAGATACGATAGAAATATTAGTGTATGACAAAATATTTTCTTTCGTTTTCTTTTCATATGTATTCTATATAGACGTTCTATTTTATCGTACTTTTATCATTACAAGCAATCGCTAATATCATCATCATTATCATCAACATGTGGTATTGATCTTTCATCGTGCAAACAGGTCATCTACATTCTACTGTTGATAGAACGTGTCACCAAATATCAAAATTATGTTAGGTTCTTATCGATTATTAATACTCATCAAACTAATTCTGTTTGAGTTACTCGGGCTAAGTAAGTTTCTTTTCTTTTTTTTTTGTTCATTTGTCTAATAGACACATCGAAGTGGTTTCTTCATGTGCAAACAAACAATCAATATAGAACATATTTTTGCAGGCTCTTATATATATATATATATGTTGTGCCAAAGGCATGACATACACATATCAAACAATAGTACAAAGCTTCATCTGGTATTAAATGAATACATAGTCGGATTCTTTATTTAGTACACTCTAGTGTTCATCATTTGTTAATGAGGCTTTGAAAATCTTTTGTCATGACTAGTAATATAAGAATACACTGGCTTCTTATTCACACATATGTACAGACAAATGGTATTCTAACTAACAGAACAAATGTATCTAATAAGATGACCTTTTATAGAGAAGATATCTTGTCAACTATATAATTGAATATATCAGTTGATTCAGGTGTTGTCTACGAAGCTAATAATTAATAATTGTCTATCTATTCATATTTTAGTGTGTATTGAAGATGATTCATTTCGTCGTTATCGTCGACAACGTTCTCCGAGTGACAGTAATAATCCATCCGGTACTCCATTTGTCATTGTTGTCTCTGTATCAGTTCAAGATTATTTTGCTGTTCTTAATTGTTCTACACCAGAACGTGTACCTCATCTTAAACTTGATTGGTATTTTCAAACACGTGCTTCATTAAGACCACCACGCGTTATTTGGCAACGTGGCCATTCAAATATACATCGTTATTCAGCTTATTCACCTGATCAAAAGCAACATATTTTACAAATCAAACCTGTTAACTATAATGACAGTGGGACTTATATGTGTGTCGATCAAACAACCGGTTTCTACGATAAAATAGAACTTATCGTTCGTAAGTTCAATTGTATAGGAATATATATATTACATCATACATTCCTTTCTTATTATATACTTGAACAAATTTCAATAGCTACGTTTCAGTTACTTCATCAATAGGAGAGATTTAAAATTAAATCTTTTTTTTTCTCCTCTTTTCTTTCATATCGATTGAAAGAAGAAATAATTATGCAAATGAAATCCTTAATTTGATAGATGAGCGTCATTATAAAGAAAATTAAATATCTCTTTTACTAAAGATTAAATACATAAGCTGACAGAAATCTTTTTTATATTTTTAGGCGACAGTCGAAGTTGTGCGGGCAGTATTATTCGTTTACAAACGACAATGCTTGTCTGTCTCGTCTTACTTTCATTATATTTATCTCGACGAACTGCAAGTGAGAGTCAAGTGACATGATCACTTTTCATATTTTGTATTTATATACATTACACTTGTCAGTGTACGTCTTCCGTCCATCAATGTTCTCGCTTTTCTACATACCATGAAAAAAAAAGAATTTAATTAAATAGAAATACAAATGGTATATGCGAGATCATGCTACGAAAGAGAAGCCTCAAGATTGTAGTTTTTTTTCTTCTTCTTCTTCTTCTTCTTGTTTGTGACTGAACAATGATAGACTTGATTTTTTTAATGAAGAATGCAAATTATATATTGCTTTTTTTTTATTTATTATTATAAATATGATCACATTTATGAACAGCTGAACTTTGTTCTCTTGACATACAGAACAGATGATACTAATAATAAGAATAGTTTCTTTCGTAATCATTGTTACTATATTGTTCTTTAAGGAAGAAGATGATTAGTTCCACTATCCAACTATTTTTAGCATTACTTTTCGAAGAAATCGTTACTGAAATTAACCAATATATATATATATGTATATGATAAAATGTAAAGCATTTCGGAATTGATACAATTGGTAAGAATTACATTTTTATTTAAGGTAAAGAATAAGAAGTCAATTTTCAGTTCAATCTGTATCTGATTTACTAAGATGCATTTGATTACTCGTTTGACCTATACTTTATACGGAAATGATAAACAAAGAAAAGCATGAATATAAACTATGTAGTTCATGTCCTTTAATCCAATTTATTTAAAACATTGCTTATGTTTTTGTTAAACTCTTCATCTGTTTAAAGTTAATATTCAACCCAGGGATCATTGCGCAATAAAAAGACAATAAATACAATTCAATCAAACGCCAATATAACAGTGCACAAATGACAAGAAGAAAAATAGAAATAAATATTCATATTCATATATATATATATATATGTGTGTATCGATCACGACTTAGAGAAAACAAACAACATTACAATATACTGGAATACAATGTCGAAAAGAAAAAGATTAGCCGAAAGAATTCAAAAATAAACCGAAAGTAGATCATTAAATAAATAAGATTTGTTCATAGAAGGGAGAGAACAAGGATTGGTTATCCAATGAGCATTTTTATATAAGACAAAGTTGTGTAGATTAAAACGTTCACGAGAATGATTAAAACCAATTTAATGACTAGGTTAAATGGAATAGAGATATATGCTTATATAATTCATTTAACTTTAAAGCCCTGGAGGTTTTTGAATGTTTGTATCACAATTTCGAATGAGTTGATTTTGTGGAACAACTCCATCTTCTTCTTGTGAAAATGCAAATCCATCTATGAAAAAAAAACAAATAAAATAAAACTACTATTGCAAATTTCTTATTTACGATAAGGTCCAGGAATAATTCCAGACATTTTTGGTGTGCGTGTTCGAACAAAAACACTTTTTAATAATGCTAATCGTTCTGCAACACGTGATACAGTTGACGTTTGTCGAGACATAACTAAATCATATGGATCTTGATTTGCAACTTCTTTTTCTTGAACTTCTTGCATTAATGTTTTATATAAAGTTCGTTGCAAACTATTCAAAATAAAATTTATTAAAATCTATTTCATAACTTATTTTATTTTACCAATTATATATAAAATCAGTCAATAATGCAGTTATTGGAATTAATAATAAACCAAGCCAAAAATACATACTCGAAAAAACATATTTTGCCTTTATGAGAAAAAGACATATATTCAAGTTTTAAAGATTATTACAAATATTTTATTTATAAAATATAGTACTTACCATGCCACGCATTTCTGGTGCTAATGGTATTGTTGGCCATATGCTACTGTATATAATAAAGAAGACAAACCATGAAGCAATACTTCCCCATATAGCAATATGTGTAAGCTAAATATAGAATAATTTAAGAAACAATTTCTATTCAGTTTATGTTACTTACAAATGTCCATGAATCACTTTCGAGTCCTGCTTTGAGACAAACAACGAAGATGACATACTAAAATATTTTCAAAATAGAATTTTAATAAAATCTGTTATTGATTTAAATTTTAAGTGATAATAAGCGAATGTGAATCATACAGTTAATATCATTAGAGCACAACATATTATACAAAACATACCGTATAAATAATATTGCCTAATAGTAAATAATCACCCACTTGTCCGTTGCTATATGCAACGTCTATAGATAGAGAAAAAAGAAGCAAAGGTAAAAGAACATGCATCTTTGTTAATTTTTTTTTAAATTATTATAGGACCTAGACAAACATGTGCACTTTTTTAAGGCAAAAAATATCACAAAGCTTCCTTCATCTAATAGTTAGGGTTAGTTAAGCATGCGCATTAAAACTTAAGAGCAATCTCAATTTACAGTATAAACGCAGTTGCCAAGAAACAAATGACTTCCAAAGACAGTTCCATCAGAATGAGCAACATCTAAATAATAAATATTATCGATTTCTCTTTTCATTCTTCCGTTGTCAAATATATATATATATCACATAGTATCTTATAGCAATTATTTAACTTATCTACATACCATGTCGAAGCATTGCATATGACATAAAATAGAGAATAATAGAATGATAGACAGCATTTAAACACCAAGTCCAAAAAACCTAGAAAATAAATATATCTATATTGTTTCTTCTAAGAAAAACAAAACAATACTTTAATATTAAAATCTGATCTATTTTGTGACATTTTATATATTGCCGGAAATCTCATCATCGTTTCTGCACTACAACAACGATCTAATAATCCAAGTGCCATTGGTGGTGCGGCAGTAAATAACACATTATAAATAGCAATAGTCCATCGTTCAAATAAAATTTGTCCAGAAAATCCATTATGAAATGCAAACCAAAGCTATAAATATAAATTAACATTATTTTTATATATTAAATATGTAAACAAATAAACCTCCATAACATAAAGACAAATATTTTTATAGAATGAATAAAGTAAAACTTTACATAAACGACGATAACTCCAAACACCATGAACAAATAATAATTTTGTTAAGAATCTAAATTGTCCAATAGTATAATCTGCTGCACATGCAGCTTGTACACCTTCTCGGCCCATAATTCCAACACCGACATGTGCTGTTTGTATCATTCCAACATCATTTGCACCATCACCTATTGCTAATGTTATATCATCTGTTGATCGTTTAACAAGTTCAACAACTTCTGCCTTTTGTTTTGGACTCACACTAAAATTACGAAAAATAAAAACAATACATATGTTATTATTTATTTTATTACCGGCAGCAAATAACTGTTTTACATGATATAGCTAAATCAAGAAAATCTTGTCGACATGAAGGTGATAATGCATATTTAAGTGTTTTTCCTTCGATAACAAGTGATGCCAGATTTTCTTTACGTAGTGAATCACCAAATGTTTGACAATGTTCACGTAATTGTCGTCGAGTATCCTTATAGAAAAAAAATATTTCAAATAATTATCAAAGAAAATTATATATCTATTTACATCAAGTGTTTCTTCATCAAGAGTTAAATTCAATAATTGATCAGATAAAAGTTTACATGAATAACCAATATTAATTGCTGTTTCTTTTTTATCACCAGTCAATACCCAAATCTAATTTATTTCTTCATAAAAATATCAGAATATTTTTTAGACTGTTTAATTTACCTTAATACCAGCTTTTAATAACATCGATAGACTTTCTGGTACTTGCTAGAATTAAAAAACAAATTTTTATATAAAAATAATTCATGCATATTGATAAAACTCTCACATCTTGTAATTTATCTTCAATTCCAGTAGCACCTAATAAAACAAGATTTTGTTCAATTCTTTCAGCTACTTCAGCAACTAATTCATTTCGATTATTAATTGCTGTTGATGCTTCACGATATTGAATTAACCATTCCTAATAATCAATAAAAGATTTCAGTAATCAATATATTTTGATTTATTATTTACATTATATTCTTCATTGGTTAAAATTCGAGAACCAAGACATAATGTACGAAGACCATCTTTAGCAAAACTTTCTAAATGTTCCATTGTTAATGGAACATTAGGTTCATCTGGAGCAAGACGTTCCATAATAACACTATCCTATTCAATATAAACATATTCTTTTATTTATAAATCATAAAAGATTTCAGCTGAACTTACTGCGCCTTTACAAAATAATTTAATTTCATTATTTGGTGTTCGAACAATAACACTCATTCGTTTACGATCACTTGAAAGAACTTCTAAGATAATTTATCTATTGATTAATTAGATATCTTACCTGCTGAATTCCAAAACATTTAATATTTCATATTTTTCTTCTGTACCTCGCTACAAAAACAAAAACAAACAATATATAAAAAAAAGAAATAAAATTTTGTTTATTTACAAAATTAATAACCACACTATCTGGCGTACGACGAAAAAATATTACACCCATTTCTTTCAATGCTGAAACCAACGCATATTCATCTAAATATATTAAAAATTAAATATTATTTTCTTTAATTAAAATTTTACCTGGAGATGATGCTTGATAAACAATATCATTCAATGACTCAGTCCGTAATTTATTTTCAGGTACGACTGTATGACATGTGGCAAGCAGTGTAAGAAATTCTCGAATTTGACTGCCGGTACTCTATAAATATTTAAAAATATATAGAAGAAACCTTCAATTGAGGTAAAATAATGACCAAGCTCAAAGTTTTTAATTAGCATATGATACATCTTCTATATCCTATAATTATTATACATGATACTATTTTCTTTACTCAAAAATTCTTCAACTGATCTAGAAAATGTGCTAATAGATGAGCAGATTATGACATCTTCCTAATAGAGTTGAAAAACGATTCTATTCTTGCAATTGCATTAATCTGCAGAATTTTAGTATTGATTTTTGACAGGTCTATATTAGATAATAATATGAATGAGTTTTTGTCATGCAATAATTGTTATTCTAGTAATATAATATACTTAATTGATCCATTGGGAAATAATTAACACATAAATAATATACCATCCTGATCAACTCAGTAACCTTCTTTTAGAAATACGTCAAATTTTTCGACAATAACTTCAACTATATCGTACTGTATGTATTTACTAATAGCAAAAGGTTCATTGAAACTTACATGATATTCTAAATTTTTCAATAATTCATAGCTATTGAATTCTGCAACATTTCCCGATCTAAAATAATTTCAATATATAATATCATAATAAAATTTATTCTTATCATTGCTTACCCATACATAATACCAAGAATGCTGCATTGTTTAAAAACCATCACATTTTTTGTTAATGTACCAGTTTTATCCGAAAAAATATATTTTACTTGTCCGAGTTCTTCATTTAAATTTGATGTTCTTGCATTTGCTGGCGTATCTGTTTCTGGATCATACATATCTCTATCCTAAATTGCATTATAAAAATGGTTTCTAAATATTCTTTTTTTTTCTTATTAATATACCCAATTAATAAAATATGCTTGAATAAATTTTACAAGATCAACTGTTATTTGAAGTGAAATAGGAATTAAGTTATTAAATAAGATAAAGAATGTTAAGAATGTATAACCAAAATGATTCACTGGTGAATCTAATATAAATATAGAAAAATTGCAATATCAGAATGTTAAAATATTTACTAGCTGTTTTATCACCAGTAAGACGTGTTAAACCAAGATACCAATGTGCTGATTTATTCTGGTAATTCCAAATTTCTCCAGCGATTGTACTGAATAAACATAAGATAACCAGAATTAGCAATAAAAATAAAATCTATGAATTAGAAAATGATTATCTTGTGTTTTTTTTGATTTAAAAATATATACTTGGCTATTTGTCACTTGTTCAACATTAGTTCGTTTGAAAGGAACAGAAGATGAATTCTAAAAATTTATATTAATAAAAGAAAAAAATTCTTATTTTTAAACAAAAAACAAACCATCATTAATTTCGTATCATGTCCACTATAAATAACAAGTCCATAAATCCATGCTGTATTTTTTAATTGTGAACCACGTAAAAGTATTTGATCGGATCCTAAGGGAATTGGAAAAGCAACATTATTAAGTTTTAATGTTCCAGCAAAATCATATAAATGTCGATTAGGTAATTCACATTCAATAACACCTAATAATTCTTTTAATTGTATACTCGATATCATATGAGCAGTTTGTGGTAAACCCTATGTATATATATAAAAGAATAGAATAAAATTTTTATTCGATAAAATAACAAACCTGTCGAACTTTGAGATTTGTTTCTCCATCGAGATTAGATGTTTGAATGTAACATATTGAATTTGGTTCACTTGAAGAAGAAATTTTATAAAAGAAAAAATTTCAATTTTCTACAAACCCAGATGAAAGTAAAACAAGATCTGCTGGAAAAAATTCATTATCAAGAACTTTTACAATATCACCAACTTTAACTTGTCGCCAAGTTGTATATCGCCAACTTCCTTCTCGAAAAACTACAATGAAAAAAAAATATATATATTTTCATACAAAAAAACTTTTTCTATTTTACTTAAAACTCTTCTTTTATTAACTGCACCATCTTGTATATGTCGTTTCTAATTAAAATCAAACTATTTTATTAGAATGAATAATTTCTATAATAAATAACATACCACATCTTCAATTATTTCTTTAATAGCTGCACAACAAAGAATAATCGATAATGGAACTGCTGTTGTATATCTACCAGTAGGTGATACTCCAGGAATTTGCTATAATTAAATTATATATATTAATTAAAATTTTTGACATTTTTATTTACCTGAAGAACGGCAATACAAAGAAAGAAAATATTTGAATATTTTCGAAATTGTTCGAAAAGAAATTTTGGTAGAAAGGAAATAAATGAATATTTGCTTGTACTTATATTATTTGTAATATATTTTGTTTGTTGAGGTCCATGATTAATTGTTATAATACGTTTTGTATCACCATCTAAATGAGGTGTTGAAGGATTTTGCATAGTATTTCTTTTATTTGTTACAGCATTTCCAATTTCACGAAAAAGATTTGTAATAGATGAATTTTGTCCCATTGCGAAGAAGAAGGCGCACGTATTAAGCACCAATCGTCGCAAAGTTAATTTACCACGGCACCGAGGTGGAATCTTTATTTTATAAATAATAATAATTCATAGAAATGAAAGTTGACGAAAGCAAATTAATAATAATAATATCTAAAAATAAAATATTATTAAGAAAAACTTCGATTTAGTTTTCTTTTTATTGCTGTGTTTTTTTCAATCTATTTGTTTGTTCTTTTTTTTTTCTCTAGTTAATCGACGAAATAGAAAGAAAAAACTATTGAATGAGACAATTTTTATGATGTTTTTTAGATGTCGCATCCTGTCGGCATTGACTGTGCATGTAATTTCCCAGCAGAGATTTT